TCTATATTTGTACTTATTAAAAGTGACAAATTTGTCCTCTTTAAGATGCAATATTGTCCTCAACAGAAAAGTACAAATTTTGTACGTTGTTTTTGGACAAAATTGCATCTTGAAAGATGCGCGTAAGAACGCATCCAGTCTGGAGACAAAATTGTACGTTGACCATGGACAAAATTGTTCCTTGACATTTAGTGTGTACCGTTGCTTGGATCACAGTTTCCTCGCCTCTCCAAAAATGCCTTCTGCTCGGCGTGGCCCTGCCCAAAAAGGAGACCGAGTGCCGTCTCCTGCGAGGCTACGTACCGGTGAGGCCCTCGGGCGGACGGGCGCGCGGTTGCCATCAGCAATGGGCAGTCCAGAGGGGCGCAGGCGCAGGTTAACAGTGGTACCAACAGAATGTAGGAAGTTGGTGGCTGCCCGTCCTCCAATGAATTTTCCATTCTATTTAACTATAAATCTTGCTTTGGACGTCCCGAAAAGTAGCTGCTCTATAGCTGCCCGTTTTCGAATTAATTCCCTCGAATGAATTTCCCTTCTATTTAACTATTACTAATATCCCAGAAGATGGGGATGGGGAAATTGGTAATAGGTCAATAGAAGGGAAAATTCATTGGAGGAAATGTATTCGAAAACGGGCAGCTACTTTTCGGGACGTTCAACGCAAGATTTGTAGTTAAATAGAGGGGAAAATTCATTGGAGGACGGGCAGCCACCAATTTGCTACATTCTGTTGGTACCACTGTTAACTCGGGCCTGCCCCCCTCTAGACTGTCCATCAGGGTTGTCACAGGTTCTGGATTTTTAATTTTACTGACTTTTCAATGACTAACATCCCGATTTTTACTGACTTTTTAGGCAAGAAAGTAGGCAGCATTCCGAACGGGAGGGAAAATTTCACTGAAAACAAGAGTATGCACAAAAGCGGCGACTGGCTGCGACGGCAGGGCCCGGCAAGTGCCACTGCCACAGCTCGAGCGTCTTGGACAGACTGATAGACAGAGTGAGGGTCGTGTTTCTACGAAAGGGACCTCTGGATCATAAGTCTTAACTTCAAATTCTTATTCTTGTAGCTACACTCAAAACAAGGGCATCATTGGTTGCAGTAGACCATAGGCTGCCAAAAACTTACCTCGTGAGATTCCTCCGCACACTGGCTTCAGAGGATAGCTTCGCCAGCCAGCGCGGCGCACTTTTCGACGTACTTAGTACGTACTCCATATTATAGCAATACTTCATGTTGACGCTGATGAGTTAAACTTGCAGGTGCACACGTAACGAGTTTAACATTTACAAGTGTAAAATTATGTAGTTGTACAATATTCAATTTGAAAAGTTACCACTTAGGCCTAGTTTACCAGTGAAGACGTTCCCATGCATTTCTCTTAGAAGGAGATGCATGGCAGCTTTGGAAAACACAGACGTCGCTTTTGTGTAACATCAAAACAGTTCTGCACTTTAATTAGCAGACTAAAGTTAATACTTCAACGAAAATTCACTCTACTCTGTATTTAGCATATATACAAATAAAACAAAATTCACATTGATTATGACAACGTAGCTAAATACACAGTGCTAAAGATGTAACTCTTGATTCGTAGTAGTAAATTATGTTTTCATAACGATGGAATCCGACGAATTGAACTCTCCAACTGTGAAGGTCCTTAGTTTTGGGCAGACGTTTCTGATAACCGGCCCAAGAGTAGATTCCAACTGCTTCATCAGGGCAGCGACATCTAAAAATTGTAAAGATTTTTTTAAGGTTATGTAAAAAGTGTAAAAATCTGGGATTACAAAATGTTATTTAGAGAATAATACAAAATGTTTTTTTGGTAATATAACAAAATATGCTTAGACAATTTGCGAAGTCCAACTTCACTGATCAGCAACGCCTACTGCCTTGCTTAGAGCCTAAAGCCGAAAGCTACGAGGGGTCCCCCACTCCCACAGTTCTGGTACATTAGTATTTTGAGTTAGCGACTTCGGGCGAGTATGCGCGAGTACGCATCCGTTTCGACGAGTATTGGTGAGTATTTCGTGATTGAGATACGGGCAAGCAAAATCTGCAAAATCGCCGTAACCGACCGACCGAGGCGACCGGCAGGCGGTCAGCTCTGGCCCTGCACCGACCGTGTCTCGGTCAGCGCCGACCGTTTGCAGGTGAGAGGTGGGCTCCGTATCTGTCTCCCCTCCTCACCTCTCACCTGCAAACGGTCG